ACCTGGGGCAAATTGACATTGGGGCAGCATTTGTGATTTGTTTATTCCTGTGTCTCAGAGAGAGAGAAAGGAAAGTGCAGGGAATGTGGCCAGTGTTCCCTGCAAAAAAATGGGTCCCTTTGGTAGAGTTGCAAGGGATAAGAAAATAATAGAGAGAAATGGAAAATGGAAGAAATAAAAGAATACACTGAGACAAAGATATAGTTTTATAAGTTTATAAAGATTATAGGCAAAGCGGGAGCTCAGGGGTCTTAGACCTCTCCGTTGGTCTCAAGAGCCCCGAATGAGGTCTTACATGGTAACTTATAGGAAATAGTGAACAATTGTCAGGGATAACAGATTTACATAACAGCAGGTAGTTCCTCTCAGATCAACAGATTTTCAAAAGGCTTTTACAGAAGGCTTCTACAGATTCTTTAACTAATTCTATTTACGTGAGCAAACGGTTACAAAGTCTTTCAAAGGTTAATTTCTAAATTCTAAGATAAGTTTATCATTTAAACAGAGGGGTTAAACAGAGATATGTAAGCTCCATGTTTATGAGGTTATTGTGAATGGAGACAGGTAGTCTAGAGTGGTTTAAACAAAAGCTTTGCTTTTAGGCATTCGGGAAGCTGTCGTTTCCGGGAAGCTGTTTGTTCCGGAGGGCACTCCATTGTCAGCTCTTAGCCTATAGTTTTTAACAGATTCACTTGTGCTTTACAAAGCAAATCTAATTCTTTAGGTCTGAGAAACACGGCGCCTCGTGGGATACAGTCGCTACTGCCTTTCAGAGACGCCCTTCCGAGTGTAACAGCATTCGAAATGCAAACCCACACGTTCACATATTCTTTCAGGGCAAAGCTCTATAAAACTCTTAAGACAAATTCTGTCCCAAAACACGTTTAATATTAATTCATGGAGCGACAGGAAAGGAGAGGAGAGAGCGAGCGAGCCCCTCTGGATTCAGTTCTCCACGGCAACACATGGAACATGCCTCTAGCATATTTCTACCCAGGGGCAGACAGTACCCTAACATAAGATGTGACTTGCATCCTTGGGGGTGCTAGAGAGGACTGTGTGGGCTTGATTCCAGTTCTCCTATTTTTTGCTGGAGGTCTCTGGTTGCGGTTTATTCTTAGTTTTTGGTAGAGCTGTATTACTGCATGCATGTAAAGTACTTACATGTGTGCCTGATTAGTGAGCCCTCAGATGGTAGCTGTTACCTTAACAGAGCTTATACTCCAGCAAAGGAAAGCAGACATCTACAGGGCAAGTAAATCAGTGTTTGTGATAGTGCAGTACAAGGAGGAAGTGTGGTGGAGTGATTTATGTGTGCACTGTAGCTTCACACTGCCTGAGTACAAATCCTGCCTCTTACCTGCTGTGTGACTTCAGGAAAGCTAGTTAATCTCTCTGGGCTTTAGTTTCCTCATTGGCAAAATGGGAATAAGAATTACATCTATCCTGTGGCTCTTTCTGAAGATTAAATGAGAGAATGTACATAAATCATGGAGGACAATGTCTGGCACATGATAAATGCTCGGTAAACATTAACTCTTCTATTACTATGATACAAGTTGGTATAGGGGACAGTAAGTCACCAAAAACAGGAAGACAGGCATTCACCTAAATCTGTTTTCTCTTTTCCTTTGTTTTTCCAAAGAGTCTGAAGCTTCGACGTCCCAGGATGCCCGGATGTGGAAAATGAGGGATTCAGGAACTACTCCTCAACCTAGAGGTAAGGAAGCTGTGTTCTTATGAGTGGTTTGTCTTTGGCCACGGTGTCGCCTGCCTGCTTGTCTTGGAATTCTGCTGTTTTGGTTCCTGTGTGGCCACATCCCACATCCTCCTGTGGGCTGGGACGAAAGCAAAACACGCTGCAAGCGTCAGTGCTGGCTTCTCCCCTCTTCTGCTCATCTCAGAAGCCCCTATGTTGAGTTTTCCCTTTCTAATTAGCAACTTCCGACTTGAAGCCAGAAATCATAGTAGAAAAATCACCTACTCATTTTTCAAATGATTATTTATTTATTTTAAATTACGCAAACATTACACTGATGTACTTTTTTAGGGGTACATAAAAACAGATAGAAATAAAATTCTCTTTGATGCCCTGTCCTCAATCCCAGCCCCCTCTCCTGAGATAATGGCTGCTATTATTAGTTGAAGATAATCATTCTAGATCTTTTTTCCATTCCCTTATGTCCATATAGATACAGAAATTAATAGTTTTATTTATAGAAATAGAGTATTTTTGTGTCTTTTTTAAAAAACTCATTTTTATTTATTAGTTCTGCCTCTTGGCTGAGTATTTTAGCAATTTTTGCTACAATAAATTTATTTTCTACTTTAAACAAATATTCATAGGAAAAAAGGCAATGATTTTTATACTTTCAAAAAATCATACTGATTTCATTACTCATCATGTTGTATGCTAAAATGTAAATTCCCCCTTTTGAATTTTTTCTTTTATTAATTTCTGTATTATTTTGAATTCTTTGATTTACTAGTTTCAGTGAATGTACACGGATGTTATACTTTCAGATTATTTCTTTGACTAAAAATACCTCTCCATTGTTCTAGTATATAAATAATAATGGTTGGGTGCAGGACTCTTGCGTAATACGTTGTCTTCCAAAACTGTAGCTGCTGCATTTTTTCTTTCATTTTGTGTCAGTGAAATTTCTGATGCAAACCTGACTTGTTTTATCTTGCTCCTTTTCAGTCTGTATCCTCACAGGAATATTTTTCTTAGACCTTGAAATATTAAAAAAATCACTGTGATATATTCAATTATGTAGGTTTTCTTTTGTTAATTTTCCTTATTATTGAAAAAGTTCTGGCAATCAGAAGACAGCTACTTTCAGCTCTAAAGTATGTTTTCTGTTATTTACATATTATTTTTGACTTTTAT